TCATGCGGTAGAGCTAGACAGCAGTGTGTTCCTAGACTTGCCCATAGATGGCAGTGGAAACCATAATGCCGCACACAACAGTCACCAGTTGGAGCCTCAACTGATGACTGGTGGGCGACGAAAGTGCGTGGTGTGGGCTTCATTTGCACTAGCTGCATTATTTGTAGCTGGAGCGAAGTTTTACATTGATCACCAGGTAACAAATTTCCGACAACCTGCATCGGCTATAGTTACGTATGCATTGAACCAGCACCTGGATAACATAACCTTTATTAGCCGTCTATCATGCCTAATGTGTAGTCGAGCTGACCGTGCATCATCGCAAGAGCACGCCGCTAAACGATGGACATGCTGGAGTTAAAGTCTGGCTGGCAGCTCCATAACATAGCCCCTATTTCTGTACAATAAAGATTAAATTTATTTTTGAGTAAGTATACATTAATTTCCAATACAGAATTACAGATGCGGCCTGTTTGAAAATATTCAAAGCATATATCTTTTACCTTCTAAGCAACATTATTTGTATGGATGCAAAACTTGGTGTCTGACCCTTGGTAACAACGTAAGATTCGGGGTGTTGAAGAAAATATTTTTCTGTAGAAGAATTGAAGAATCAAAAATTAACATAATGAGGACCTCTGTAATGTGTCCTCTTCCTAGTTTATTAGGATGATTAAATCAAGGATTATGTGGGCGGAGCTTATAACACACAGGCGATATATGAAATACGTGTACTAAATTTCATTCAGAAAACCTGAAAGACTGAGGCTACCTGGAGACGGGATGATTTATGCGATATGATGTACGGCCAATAATGATTAAGACGGATTTTTATCACCTTTAAAAATCCGTCGACCTCGGCCGGGTTTGAACCTGTGAACCTTGGGTCCAGTGGTAAGCAGGCTGACCACCATCCCAGAAATAACTAATTGTAATTTATAGGTACTCCATATTTATAAACTTAAAATCTGGAACTACTGACCTCTTGTTAATGCTGCCTGTTGCAGAGGGTTGACTTGGAACTACCTATATTGGGCACACTGTTGGTAGTGTTCCTGTTTGCTGGCTGCACACTAACACTGTGCCGATTGAAGGCAAAATGCAACTTCATCACGGCAGCTGTTACCTCCTCGTCACAGACGCCTCATTCCACAACCTCGCCTCAAGGGCAGGCTCAAGGTCATGAGATGGAGACCGCTTCCAATGAGGATATAGTTCTGGGACAGATCGTTGATCAGACGAGTGCAATAATTCTTTCACCACCTTCAGGTCCAACCCAAGCTCCTGAGCAACCACCACCACCTTATCATATTGCGATACTGCTGCCTCAGCAGACGGGACGCTCGGAAACCACGCAGGGACACGATGAGTCACCTCCACCATCATACGACAAGGCCATCAGTTAGAACACGCAGATGATCACAGTGGCAATAAAATCAGTGGTGCAAGTTACTGACACACAATCGACTTTATAAAATTATTTTAAGGCTGTGCATTTAGGGGAGGGGGGGTTGTGTAACGTATTATTTTCAGACGGTACGTTTTTTACGATCTAACAAAGTTACGTTGCAAATAGTATTAAGGGTTTTTGGTCCTTCCAAACTGTGTTTACCAGTTACTTTTTTTAATATTTGGGGGGGTTCATACAATTATATGGGCATAATTGATTTTTAATGAACATAAAAAAGGACAGCAGAAGATCGCGTTCCGTTAACTGTTTTAACACGTTCCGTTATAAAGATTTCTCTCGTGACAAACTTCAAACTAGTGAATTACCACGACTGTAATAATTAAAATATGCCTTGCTGTTAAAAATAAATTATTAATCCAGTACAGAATGGTTATATATAAAGTACCAAAAGAAGATATCATCTTTGGGGGGGGGAAACAAAATTTGGTTTTGATTTTTTTTTTCCTGCAGCTGAGTTAAGTGAGACATACGACAAGTTAACTTAAACTCAGAACTGTGGAGGAACTGCAGACTGGTCTTTGATTATTACATAAACTGTCTGTCACGGTGCCAAAGTGTTAATAGGTCACGGAAATTGAAAGTGTGGACTACGAAGTTGGTACTATATTACTGGCAATATTGAAGTAATAAGCTTAAAAAATCATATTATTCAGTCAGCTAAGTTTAAACTGGACTTATGCAGTTACTTTAAATGAATTATAAAAAGTGTGGAACTGTGATTTATGATATTTTCAGACTCAAAACACAAAGCACAAATGTTCAATGCCTTCCAAGATGCTAAGACATCCAAAATGGCATCCATTTACAAAAGTGTGTTTATTAATCATGTATGTATTTTCCTAAACTCTTTCTTACTAACTTAAGTGTGCTTTGTACTCTACAAATTATCATTATATTTCTCTGTGTTTGTCTACTGCATTTGTAACTTTAAGGTGTTATAAAAAAAATTAATATTTAGGAAATGAAATTTGAAAATATGCTTATGTTCAATTACAAAAACATACTGAGCCAATTTAAATAAAGCTGTTCCTGCCAGCCTCATATATCATGGTCTGGAACTGTTGTTAAGAATCAGAATATATTGTTAATTACTTAATTATTTTATTTTATCTGACATAATTGCAATTCTCCATCTCCATGTGTGAAAATTAAATTAAAAAAAAAAAAATTGAAATCAAGAACAAAAATTCAAGAGGAAGCACATCTGGTTTTTACGTAGAATTTATTATTTACATAAACAGAATTTTGTTGGTCAACTTTGTTCTGCGGCAGATCTCGGAATAAATATCTGTTGAATAATTATTCCCTACATACAAGTTTAATGAAGGGTACAGAAAAAACATTTTCACTGATAAAAATTTCATTCTTCAATGACAAATTCATATAACTACAGGAATGAACCATTAGCCAGGGTAAAATGTGGCAGAATTTACACGATAAGTTCAATTCAGGCTTGACGTACAGTGAGGTTTATATCGGATCGGTATGTACCAAATTTAAATTTGGCCAACAACTTTTCTTTGGAACACCTACTGCTATAGAGTCTACGCTACGACTTGGATGACCAGGCTTCAATTCCTGGCACAGACTTTTTCTCCTTGCAATTGTGTCCAGACTGATCCTGGGGCCCCCACCT